CCCATATTCACGGTGGACGGAGTCGTGGAGGACGACGAACCCGACAACCGTCCTGTCTTCTCGGCATCCAACTTCTTGCTCGTCGCAAGCTTGCATTTTTTATGGTGGTCGGTGAAGGTGTGGGTGAGGAGGGGCCAAGGAGGGGTGTGCATATAGGGTTTGCGCGAAGGAGGCTGGTCGACTTTAAAGCCGAGGAAGGCTTCTCGCCCCGCGACGACGTGAATGCGGGTAGTCGGGTGGCCGAGCAATAGGTGTGAATGCGCGGATGTCTTTAAGCCCGAAGGCCGGATAGGGCTTTCTAGTGGGTCAGAGTGTCGGAGTTCGGTGTGGCGGACGTTTTGACCGCCCGAGAGCTCCCATCGATTTAAGGTCGGGCTGCGGATTTCGAACATCTAGACCAGTCCGGACCAATTTAGTGACATGCGTTGAAGGCCTAAGAATATTTGAACCATCAGTTTTGAACATTTGCAGGCGGTTGGGCATCCGTGTTGGGGATGCCCTTAGCCTTTAGGTTGGCAACTCTGAATGGCGTCCAGATCATTACATTATCGTTCATAACCAAACTAGCGAATGTCAACCGCCCGCAAATGTCACGAAGAAAAACTAGCGAATGTCACGAAAATTAACAACAGGAAAATGTGCCTTCAATTCGAGTGTATGATTTACGTTCTACTATGCTTGTTTTGCCACATATCGGCCGTTGTTTACACGGCCTATGAATTAGTCGATCAGACAGGCAGGCCAGCGAGCACACCGGTGGCCGGCCGCCGGCGACCCGTGTGTTTTCACGGGACGAAGTACATGGGGTTTGGTATCTTGAACACGCGGTCGCCGACGTTGTCGCCCTGCAGGTCGCTCCACTGATCCCCGACGTTGCCGCGGATCCTGTAGCCCTCGTCCACCAGCTGCTTCCTCATCGCCGACTTGAACAGCGACGAGCTCTGCCCTCGGTACTCGGGAGTTCTGCAAACACATTTCGATCATGTTCTATGCTACTCCTACTAGAAATCAACCTTGCCTCTCTCTGAAGTCTGAATTATTACCAACAAATTAACAATAGTAACGTGTGTTTAAGGTTCACACTCTCGGGAACCAAGCAAGTCAACAAGAGGGGTGTTGGTACTGTACCTCATCATGAGCCTCTCGTACCCTGAGAACCCCTCCGACTCCAGATTCTGGGACGTGCAGGAGCCCAGAGTCTGCTCGTCCCTCCCGGAGACAAGGAAGACCTTGAATCCCTTGTCCTGCAACGCCGCGAACAGCCCAAGGACCGGCGGTATGCCCGGGCAGGCCCCTTGGCTAGCCCACTTCTTGAAGGCCATGGGATCGTACGCCCTGAAACACACACACACGCCATATGCATTATTCGCTGGCTGCACTTGCACGGAATGAAACGGCCGGGCCGGAGACGCGCGTACCCGAAGCGCTTGGCCTGGTAGTAGAGCAGGTTGGAGAGGCAGGTGTCGTCGATGTCGAAGATCCAGGCGTCGAGGCCGTCGGCGGCGGCGGCGGCGATCTGGTCGACGTAGGCGGACACCTGCTCCATGACGCTGTCCAGGTCCCTGCCGTACTGGCCCCGGGTCATGTAGGCCTTGACGTAGCCGACGCAGGGCGCCGGCACCGTGCGCCAGCCCCTCGCGTTGTTGGCCTCCACCATGACGCGCCAGCTGAGGCAGCCGGCGTCGTCGTGCGTCGCGGAGCTCGGCCAGGCGCAACTGGCGAAGCCGCCGCCAAGGGAGAGGAGGTGCGTGATCACCACCCACAGAGCAAGCGCCTGGGAGGAACCCATCAATGCCGCGCGCGCGGGATTACCAAACAAACGTGGGCTGGACAAAACACTCGAAGTAATGAGTTGGTACGTACGAGTACTACGTAGGAGAAACACACCACATATGAGTCGTGAAAAGAGACTCTTTCCAGGTCACGATCATGTTCTGTTTCCAAACAAAAAGGGAAGGAAGGAGTAAAGAAGATCGTAATCTAACCTGGATCGACGCGCCAATGATGCTCGCGGCAGGCAGACGGGTCGATCGAGACTTGTGTCTGACTTGTGAGTAGCAGCAGCTGGCGTACGTGTGGATTTTATAGGGAGGGGATCCAGGCCCGGAAGGTTCATGACGGACTCGCGGTCGGGTTGAGTCATCGTCCAGTGCAAGGAAAAGAATAGGAATGAATGATTACGCCATGGAAGATGCATGCGGCCTGCTTTGGGTTGGAGTTAGGGCGATGGTGCCCCATTTGCACCGCAGCGCCAGCGCGCTCCGGTGCGCGCCACGTCAACGCAACCGCGCCGCCACTGCTCGCTAACCAATAACGATCGTGTGTGTGATGGCGACCTCGGCAAAGCTGGCTGGCTGGCTGCTCTTTGTTTTTCGATCCAGGCTCACTCATGGTGCTGGTCAACAAGCGCTGACAAAGCAAACGTTGGGTTGGGAATTGCACGAGTGGAAGGACATTGACCACCAGATGGGAAAGTCCCTCCTACTAACGCCACACACAACATGTATGCCCTTTTTGCCGGTGCCGGCCATGTATACCGGACCCAGCCCCACGCCGCACATGACAACAAAGTCCACTGGGGATGAGGGAGGGATCTATGAATCATAGAGCATTAGATTATCTCTAGCAGATTCGGCCTATTGGTATTCTTCATATAGTTTTGCTAAAGCACATCTAAGATGTGAAGCTTTTTGGTACCTTTTCGCCTCGTGCTGGGTCCAGTTCGACGCCCCCCGTGTTGCCGGATTACGAGAATGAGGCCTCCACCGAGGTTGTATCTCCAGTGCTGAAGATCATGCGTGAGCTGCAGCTGTTGTGTGGGAGACCTATTTCGCCTCAGTCGATGGAGCAGCTAAAGCTGGGCTCTCTCCAGGCTTCGGAGCTGGCCCTGGTGCCCTTACCATCCCCCGTGGAGCCTTGTCGGGCGTCAGCTTGCCTGCCTCTTGGCCTCGTGGAGCACGGAGTTTTTGATGCTGTTGGTCCCACAAGTGATGTGGTTGTTGTGTCCAAAGCGTCGACGGTTGTGCCCGGGGCTCTCCTCGCCAAAGAGATTTGTGATTTCTTAGTAGCTTTGGAGGCTGCTGACCCTGGATCCAAGAAGACGATTGGTTGTCTTCTGAAGGAGAAGGCCATCAGGGATAAGAAGAGAGGTGGTGCTAGCTCGTGACCCAGCATCTTGAAGGGAGTTCAGATAAATGTAGAAGCAAGAAGAGTGACGCTATAACAAAGGTGTCCGCAGTTGCTTATGATGATGGCTATTTTGTGGGGGCAATTCGGTGTAGTTGCGTCTCATATGTCGGCATTTGGTAGGGTTAGCGTGTTGGGGGTGTTTTCATGTTTGCTCTTGTGGTTTTGTGGCCTCATGATTTGGGAGTAGTCCGCTTGCATTATGGGGTTGTGGCTTGGTTGCCTTCCGTCATCAAGTTGTAAAGGTTTTTGCTTGGTTTTCCGCAATTAACTGGGCAACTCTCTTCTTCTTAAATAATGAATGAGGCAAAGCTTTTGCCTTCATTTCAAAAAAATGTATTGCACATCTATCTAAATCCTATATCGTTGATCTTATGCGAAGATTCGTGGATTTTTTTTCCCTTTTTATGCTTGATTGAGTCATTTAGATGTGCAATAACTAGGGCACATCTAGATGTGCCCTAAACACACCCTCTTCTTCGTATTTATACAGAGTATGTTCCATATGTATTATGGAGGTTGTCGAGGGAGGGTGCCATGCCGAGTTCTCCACAAGAAAATTTCAACTTTTGTTGGGCACAACAATTGCCAAATTTCGTTCCAAATAGAATTAGTAGAATAGTACCATTTATGTCCCGTGTCAAAGCGTTCACCAAATTTATAATTTCGTTCCGCATAGTATGTGGATCTTACAGAGAAGGTGCCACTCTTTGTAAGGTTTCAAGCAATGAAATCTGACATATCATATGTTGGAAGCGGGATAGCAATTACTTTGTTGTGCATCACTGGCCAGAAACTTGCCTAACCAAGTCTTCACCCCAGTTGCATGTAGCTGGATCAGTAATATCACCGACCTTCAACAAAATTTGACCTCGCCTTGGTGTAATTATTTTCCTATCATTATTGTTGGTATCCATGCATCCTCCCATATATTAATATTCTGTCCATCCCCAGCTCTCCAGATATAACTGTGACGTAGCACATTTACTCCAGCCATGTTACCCTGCCACGCAAAGGACAGCCCCTTCTTGAGCTTCGCCTCTAACAGGTTGCCATCCAAATAATATTTCTCATGAATAATACGAACACATAGGGACTCTGGGTTCTCAACGAGCCTCATTGCTTGCTTTTCCAACATTGCTAAGATGAAACCGTGGATATCAAGAAAACTCATCCCTCCTTTACTCTTTGGCGCACCCATTTTCACCGCGCCATTCAATCCATATTTTCTGGTTGTTCTTGTCACCCTAGTCACCCTACTGTCCATGAATAATTGTTGAGATCGGAGATCAGCAAGCTCTCCTAGATCGTTCGTCCAGGTGTTAAAACACTCAAGTCACTTCACAGACATGGGCGTGATTTGCCCAAGTTCAAGCCACCGCCGAGATGTAACACCCTACTCATGCGTTGTGTATTCTTTCTTGTATATCAAGAGTGCGTAGTGAGCTCT